ATTATATTTTGTTTTCACCTACCAAAGAGTATGGATCCCTGCTGTCACGAAAACTTCTAATTAGATTCAGCATTCTTTGGTCAGGCAACCCCGATGACCCGCACGAAGTGAGACGGCCCTCATCCAGCAGTGGATTGTCCAGCCGTGACAGGGCGTGTGCACGTGGCAGGGTTGACGGCAGCTCACACGGACTGTAGCCACGTGTACCTGAGCCACATTCATCGGCGCCGCTGGTGTAGTGGTATCATGGAAGATTCCCATTCTTTCGACCCGGGTTCGATTCCCGGGCGGCGCAAAGTATTTTTTTTTAAATGAACCAGTCAACCCACTCAACCTGCCTATCCTCTCTCGTCTCACTCTACTCCCCTCCATGCACTCTCCTGCCTCTCCCCTCTCATCTCACTCTACTCCCCTCCACGTACTCTCCTGCCTCTCATCTCACTCTGCCCCCTCCACGCACTCGCCTACCTCTCCTCTCACTCTACTCCCCTCCACGCACTCTCCTGCCTCTCCTCTCACTTTACTTACCATCCACGTACTCTCCTTCCTCTCGTCTCACTCTACTCCCCTTTTCTTTTGTATTGTGCGCGGTGCTTTCAGCGCCACAGCGCGTCGATTTGTAGCGTTTGTTTTCTTTTGTTTGCTGGTGACTGTTTTTCATATTGAAATCGCCTCCAGTGCTTTTGCTGCTGGCGGCAATAAAAGTTGTTTAAAAGTCACTCTACTCCCCTCCACGCACTCTCCTACCTCTCATCTCACTCTGCCCCCTCCACGCACTCTCCTGCCTCTCCCCTCTCATCTCACTCCACTCCCCTCCACGCACTCTCCTACCTCGTATCTCTCTGCTCCCCTCCACGGACTCTCCTACCTCACCTACCCCCTCTCATCTCACTCTACTCCCCTCCACGCACTGCTGTAGCTCGTCTTTAATTTTCTATTTTATAACGGAGATGTGCACATGGGGCCTGTTGATGATGTTCTGATGCTGTTGACGGTTCCACCGGTAAAGCGTCTTCGAGCAGCAATGTCAAAGCCAGTAGGTGCCACGATGTTCGCATCTCGAATGCGGACATCAATTCTAGATTTGAAAACTTCAAATCTAGAATGTATACTCGTGTTCAAATTATTCTAACGGCATGAAGTCATGATGTTCAAACATGGCATTCATAACCATCGCGGTGAGCAGTTGTGTTAAAGAATGCCATTGAGAGATAACGTTAAACGACTAGTGCTGGAACCACTTCGATAAGTTCATCATTCACAGTAGGGGGCACATTAGGCAGCCGATAGTGTTCGTCACATAGCAATCAAATATAAATGTGACATTCTCTGGATTGGAATAAGCCACCAAATTAAACTAAAACATCAAGCTTAATTGATTAAGAACATTGCCAAATACACAGTAGAGGGCAGCATCAATAACGCTGCTACTGAGAGTAATGCTCATTACATCAAAGTAAAACTATTATTTTTAATTCTCAAGAGATGGAATAACCAATTAAGTGCAAAATATAATGTTTTGTGATGACTTTTACGTGCAGTCATTGGTGAGCAGGCTGAGACCACAGACTCGCTACGTTTGATAACCGAGTTTAATCAAATATTGATGATTCCAATTTCAAACCGACGGTCTCTGCTCAGCTCCCTGAAATTCAAGGTAAACATTTTGGACGAGTTTGTCCCGGTCTGTGACCCGGGAAATATATCCCGACGTGGCAGACCATATCCAGTATAACTCTCGCTATGTCTGTGGCTTGTGATCAGGTGCCACCTACCCCAGTCACCCAGTCACGTGGAGAATGTTCGGGGAGATATGTCCTGATGACATGGCATTCGATATGACCACTGAACCAATGGGGCAACCGCTTCCATATGTTCAGTGCAATGCCACTCACAATCCGAGAGGGCATTTCAGGTGCGGAAACAAACAGATGCGTGTCTCCTCCAGTTTCATGCTCGAAGCGAGCGTTCCACTCGCCCAGGGCAACGACTGCTGGCGAACTGGTCCGTGCAAAATTACATTACCGGTACCATATGATCGCCTCTCACCAAATCACCCAGAATGCACCTGAGCTCGTCAGATCTCTGCAGTAACGCGGTGTTTTGCTTGGACGATGCTTGAACGCGTACGCGTTTTGTACATCGGTTTGGGCAACATAAGGGATTGTTGTACTGTACCTCTATGATGCTGCATCACTGCACCCTGTCTTCAGCAGCCGGCGCTAAGCAGCCTGCTGAATTATGGTCAAATAACCCCAACGACCCATGGAACGTCGGAAGGCCCTAATCCAGCAGTGGATTGATAAAATGGATGTACCGTACATGTACACGTGGCTTGTTTAACAACAGCTCACGGGAGCTTGGATGAGCGACCATCACCGTGCATGAACCAGGTGTTATAGGCTGCTACTGCGATCCGTTGTCAGCAGAGGGCAGTGCAGCAAATTCCTGTGTTGCACTTCACCACTCTCCACAACGCCTTCACTAACCTGCACTGACCAGTCTGGTGAAGAATGGTAACATAATCTGTATAGCGTAGGGAGGCTATCATCCAGCAGTGGATTGACTATGAAGGATGTACTATACATGTACGACATGATCATCCATCGGCGCCGCTGGTGTAGTGGTATCATGGAAGATTCCCATTCTTTCGACCTGGGTTCGATTCCCGGGCGGCGCAGTTTCTTTTTATTAAATTAACAAGTCAACCACACAATGCCTCCCACCTCTCTCCTCTCACTCGACTAATATCTGTAAATTATCAAATGAGTGTACAGTCTTCATCAAAATATATGAATAGTCAAACCAATATTAATAATACTCTTTGGTTCTTTCGGTAAAGTCACGTAGGTATAAAATAATTAAAAATAATTTATATAATTTAAAATAAATTATTTTATTTCATACCTACGTGACTTTACCAAAAGAACCAAAGAGTTTGGATTCCTGCAGTCACGAAAGCTTCAAATCAAGAATATTAATGATAATAGACTTTAAGAAATGTCTGCCAGACAACACTACAAGTGAAATTTCGATTTAAAGCTTTCGTGACTGCAGGGATTCATCTTCTTGGTTCTTTCGGTAAAGTCACGTAGAATGGAAATAATAAAATAATAAAAATAAAACATAATAAAATAATTCTCACGACGTTTCGGCCACAACGCAAGCAGCCGTCCTCAGACTCTGTCTTCGCGACAGACCTGTTCTTCACCTGAGGATGGCTGCTGGCGTTGTGGCCGAATCGTCGTGAGAATTATTTTAGTATGTTTATTTTTATTATTTTATTATTTCCATTCTACGTGACTTTATCGAAAGAACCAAGAAGATGAACACTACACGTGGGTTGTTTGACCATACTTCACCACCGCTGCTCAATGCGCATTGGAGCAGTGGAGGTGGCCTGATGCAGGATCGGTTCAGATTCCACTCACCACTGATGTTCACTCAGGAACTCAGATCACCTAACCTATGCAGGATGTATGCGGGTATATTATTTACGTATGTACGCTACAGCACTAGAAACCCGAATGTCCTTTGGACGTGACTTTTCGTCCGTCCCTCCCAGCCAGCCAGCAAAACTTTTAAACGTATACAGAACCCTCTCCCTCTACACATTTTTCTTGCTTTCTCTCCAAAGAATATCGCAATTTCTCTCGATTTCTCGCGTTGTCTCTGTTTCTATCTGCGTATTCATCGATCTGTGTATTAATCTGTCCCCGATTCTATCTCTCCCTCTATAGTTCACTCCCCCCTCCACTGCATCGCGCCAAGATCTCTCTCACCTCTCACCCTCGCTCGCCTTATTCCCACCTCTCCAATTTCCGCCTCAATCTCTAGTTCATCTCAATAATCCTCTCTCCCACTGGATGTCGCTTCCCTTGCTCTCCTCTTCAAGTGTTTCCCTCTCCTCTCCGTTTCATGCCATTTCACTCTCTCCCCTCCTCCCTCTCTCTTCTTAAGCCGCGGCTCCGGCTGAAGCATGCGTACCACTCCTATGCCGAGGACGCGCACGCCGTGTTCTTTGAACGTTGGGGGGGGGGGGGGTCAGGCTCTCCGCACCAACACAAATGGTGCACTGACTTTCACGTTCTGACCGGTCGACTTCGAGCGGGCGATGTGCGTGACGACGCGGTGCTTGCGTGGCTCATGGCGGTGTGTGGCGCACGTGCCGCGGTTTTACGATGGCAACGTTTGCTCTACTCGATGTTGGTGACCCCGTATCGAAAGTGGCTCCAGAGCTGTTGCTGCTGGCAGCAATAAAAGTTGTTAAAAGTAAAAGCAAGTATAACCCGTAAAAACAAAGTTTTTCACTATACTGTAAATCCTTTATATGCGTGGCGTCCTCTGGCTTGAGATGGCTGCCACCTATGGGTCAGATGATTGCATTGCACCATTAAGCAATTGGTAATTAAATATAATATTTTTGTCCTAAAAAGTGTAAAATTTTGGGAATTTTTTTCAAGAACATTAATTGTCACGCACAACGAGTCTGTGTGGAAAATGTCAGCTCGATTGGATCACGGGAAGTGGGTTAAAAAACGACCTGAAAGATTTACACGGTCGTAAGCAAGCAAGCAAGCACGCAAGCAAGCAAGCAAGCGAACTTAATATTAAGGATTTAAAAAAAAGTCTCTTCTTCTTTGCTCTATCTCCACCCCTCACCTTCCTCTTGTATCTCCCTTCCTCACCTCCCTCCCTCATCTCCCTACCTCACCGTCCTCTCCATACCCCTCCTCTATCTCCCCCCATCACCTCCCTCCCGTTATTTATCTCTCACATTTGCGCGTGCTCCACAAACCGAGGTGGATTGTGGATGAGGAGGCGTGACGTCATCACGCACGATTGTGACGTCACCACCGCACGTGCGCACGCGGCAGGCAGGCGGGCAGGAATCCATCCAGGAATCCAGCGCGAAAAATATATATTTACTCCGCTAAGAAACTCCAAATGTCCTTTTGTTTTTCATTAAATAGTTATTTTATTTAATACGATCACTTATGCAGCAACAATTGAAAGGATACCAGTACAACACAATCAGGTCTCCTCGGAGAACACAAAGGCAATTGGCAAACCAAAAGTGCTGGACACAACACACATATCGTGTTGTTGTTGTTGTTGTGGGAATTCATATACTCAAGTAAACATTTGTAACACTCAAGAAAACGTGTCAAGAAAGTGGAATGTAGATATGACCGAAACAACTGCCCGCCCTGGTACACGATCGTGAAGAGCGTCATCACTCCCAGTGGCGTGGCAAGGATCTCCCTATTCTTGGTTCTTTCGGTAAAGTCACGTAGAAGAAAAATAATAAAATAAATAAATAACTAACATTTATTACTTCCCGTCTACGTGACTTTACCGAATAATAATTATTATTGTATTATTTCCCTTCTACGTGACTTTACCGAAAGAACCAATAATATGAATCCCTGCAGTCACGAAAGCTTTAAATCAAAATTTAAGGATCTCCCTGTTAAGGGCTGAGCTAAGGAAAATATTTACGCTGGCTGTTGGAGATTGGGGAGGGAGGGGAGGGGGGGGAGAGGAGGGAGGGGCCCCATGATAAATGAAGCCCTGGGCGTAGCTATAAAATGTGCAGACAGTGCAACTACGCTGGGTTAATAAGTGGGTGATGAGGCGGGGGGGGGGCTAAATTGGGCAGGCGGTGACCCCATTTAATTGCTTGCAGCAGGGCCCACAACCCCCTACGATCCACCATTATTCACTATCAACTGGGAAGTTGCTATAGCTGCTGTGAATATTGACAGCACACTAATAATTATAATCTGGGCAAGCTGCAAAACTTAATCTGTGGATGTATCATCTTGCAGAAATACATTCCATTAAAAAACGAGTAGCCTGCACGACATGACCATCTGTCCTCCATCAACACTTGTTTTTGTTTTAACACCGTACATACAAAGTAGCCATCGTTGAACGATGATTCTCCTCCGCCCCCCAATGTCACCACCTGCTTCCCACCCTTGATCGCTCCCCTCTCACACGTGCCAACCCCAAAGACAAAGACCTTTAACAGAATGTTGGGGCAGGTGTTATTAGCGAGCACCTATGAAGGCCGGCACGGCACACGCTCGGCCGCCTTTGTCTCCCTAGTTGCACTAGGTACTCATTTGAAACCGAGTCGACCTAGGGGAGGCCCATGACCGTTTCAGGTAATTGTCACCGGTGTTGGTCGTGAGTGGGAATCGAACTCGGATCGCTGTTTTTGTAGCGCAGCGTAGCGCGAACCCCCAGTGGCCACACCCCACCGTCACCCCCACCACTCCCCAACCCACGCCCCCCCTCCTCCTCTTTACCCTGGCCAGTCAACCAGGAAGACAGCCAGCTAGCAAAACTTGTTTTTCTCATGATACACATGGGAAACAGACGCATGTTAGAACACAACAAATATATATTATAGTAGGTGCCTGCTTTGAGTTATGAATGCTCAAAATGAAGTTTTCTTATAAACGTTATCTTCAGATCTTATTAATCACAACTCCACGCTGTTTTGACTGAAGGCAAACGACGGTAACCGCCACATTACACGACTTACTGGACCGTATGACAGGAATGGGGAACGGACGGCCCCATTGGCCGGATTCAACTCACAACTTCCTCGAATACGACCTCGGGTCACACGAGCCGAACCACATCAAAACGGCAACAACAAAAAACCCGAAATCTCTCCATCACTGCAGGAGTCTTTGCCGCACCAACCATATTTTCACGCCAATTGTAAAGTTTTCCGTGAGTCCGACGACAAAGGTTCAGACCTTGAGAGCAGATTGTGGGATACCATTGTGGCAGACCTTGGTTGTCGCTGCGTGTCTCCTGTGTCTACCGCGCAGCAGCTTGCGGGGATCTGGCCGAGGGTAGAGAGAATTGGTGAGCTGTGGTGGTGAGAGCGTCAATAGCATTTGCCAGCCACGATGAGCTTTTGAATTTTTGAATCAGATACTGAAAGGGGAATATTTTCGAGCAGGAGAAACCATCTTTTAATTTGTGGACAGGCTTAGCCAATTCTGTGACTGCACGCGCCTCTTCACGCTTGGTCGACCCGCGCGGTTTTTTTGTTTTGTTTATGCCCTTATTGAGCAACGCTAAAGTGCACGCTAATGTATGGCCCGCAAACGGTACTTGAAAGTCTATTCACCCAAGCAATGGAACGCGTCCGAGCGGACATTCACAGAGGAGACGGAGCGATAACATTAGCTACATCGCAGGACGGTGAGAGATGGTGGCAGCTTGGGGGAGGCCTTCATCCAACAGTGGATTGTACATGACTGATGATGATTGTGATGATTTCGCCTTCAGTAAATAAAACATAGCTTTGCGCCCCTGCTGTAGGATAAATACTGGAAGAGTGTTCCCCATTATCATGGATATGACCCAAGGCCAGGTCTATTCATCAAACTCTTCCTCCCCTGTGTGTGCGAGTTTGCCAAAATCCAGGCAAATGGAGAGTCAGGACAGACACGGCTGTGTTTGCCCAGGGGGGTAATCGTGTGTCAGAGCAGTGAGCCAGCACTGCTGGCTAAGATCCTCGACGTTGTTGTATATGGTCAGCTATCCGTGATGGAACTGGAGTAATTAAGTGTTGCGAGTTGATGGTCGCAGAACAGCTGTCTATGACTGTACGAAACAAAATCCGTAAGTATAGTTTGTATCACTTAATTAAGCTTTTACATTACATCAACATAGCCACTTCCGTACCCAGTTACATGCTAATTTCTCACATTAACATCACTAGACACAGCCACTCCTTTATAACCCTTGGGCTACACCCATTTCAAACCTTTAAAACAGTCTGCATCAGCAGCAGACCATGCTTTCCCACCTGATGACGGACGCTTGTGTTGCGCCCGAAACGTCGTTATTTAATTTAGTTTTAATTTATTTTATTTTTTACCTACTTGACTTTACCGAAAAAAACAAAGAGTATGAATCCTTGCAGTCACGAAAGCTTCAAATCTAGAATTAATTAAGCTTGTTCCAGCTCAGAATTAAATAGTTTGGTGTTATCGCGATGCAATGATAACTGCTTGCAGGACCGATACACAAGGCGCACTGATGGTGTGGATTAGGTGGCCCTCTCTATGGGACTTAAAGTCGCTTTGCAATTTAATATTTCAGGGCCTCTTCTCTGACACGAGGTGGTTCGCTGCTTCCCGAGAGTTCAAAATGCACTTTTTTATCACACGACTTGACGCCAATATCACAAACGTATAAAATACTATTTGGATAAATAAGCAAAAACACATTTCAAATGAGGGTGAGTCCTTCCCCAGGGCTTCCTCGCACACCTGAAATGAGTTATCACAAATAGAGCATGCAGGCAATAACACATCGATACCTCTGAATCTGCCTTGTAACAGGTGAACACAATGATATGTATACCTTATATAAACACAACGTATCAACTATAAACACAATATATTAATTACTGTTCTGGTATGGGGTTTCGTGTCCAAATGGGACTTTAAACATATGGGATTTGTTTAACCATATAATTGTACATAAAGGCATTTTATATATATACGGCATACACTATATACTTCATATTACTATATACTACAGTGGAAGTTGGATATAAGCACACCTCATAAGCACAGGCCTGATATAAGCAACAAGTGCATATACTGGTGGGGGAAGGCTAAGGGAAACTTCTGTTATGAGCAAACTTCGGATAAAAGCAAGTTTATTTTGTTTAACCAGGTGGTGATAACTCAAGAAACCAGGATGAGTCTCATTTGCGAGAGTCACTGGGGTCACCAAAATGATAAAAAGGAAAACAATAAAATAAAATACAGCGATGAGTCAAACAGAAATTTAACAATAATGGACTTGCTTCCAAAGGGTGTGCTTTATATCCAGCTTCTACTGAATATAATTAAAGTTATTATACACACATCAACTCTTGTACAGCTTCCGAGCTGGCTGAACAGGTGGCTTATTTCACCTGTGCTTTAGCACAAGCGGTCGTCATTTACCTGGTGTCCACCTTCGCCTGTTCAAATGGCAGCTGACAACTGCGGCCGCAGAGGAGAGCGACTTGTGCAAGTCGAGAAATTACCCAGGCAGAGATTTGCGTTGCTCTGATTTCATACGGGAGTTCAGAAAACCATCGTGTTAGTCAGGAGAAAACTTGAAGGGTGGTCAAGAACCACTCGTAAGTCAATTGTCAAAGTAACGAAAATTGTCAACCGATATATTCTTTGGTTCTTTCGGAAAAGTCACGTAGATAGAACATTTTAAAGTAAATAAAATAAAATTGAAATCTACGACGTTTCGATCACAACACAAGCGATCGTCATCAGGAGGACGGTGTGCTTTCGCTAAGTTGTCCCCACCTGAAGAAGGACGCTTGTGTTGCACCCGAAACGTCGTGATTTAATTTATTTTAATTTTTTACCTAAGTGACTTTACCGAAAAAACCAAAGAGAATGAATCCTTGCAGTCACGAAAACTTCAAATCTAGAGTCACGAAAGTTTTAAGTCAAAAAATGTCCACCGATAATTCGTAACGTGTAAAACATTTACAATGATAATACTAATGACGTACGTTTTAACATTAGTGATGAATTAAATCAACATTAAAACTAAATAAAAAACATTCATTAGAGCTATAGACAGGCTGAAGCACAGATCACTGATGTTGTGGCCGCCACGTGACAGCTATTAGGATTGTATTCCTGATAGCTGATTGGCTGGTGAAGTGGAAGTGATAACATCATTCCGAGCAACCGTTGCCACACCCACAGCATTGCTATCTCCCTTGGACCATTTCATTTGAATTATTTATGTGTTGAATTATTTATGTATTGACGAAATTTCTGATCGTACTACAATCACTGGCTGCCGGATTTTATTAAAATTTTCTGTCCTCATGCCACTGAACATAGCTCCGTAGCTTGACCGTGTTTAAAGCAGAGGCATGCTCAATGGGATGGAGCATGACACAGCCAATGTCAATCGCACTTGGGGGGTGCAAAAAACATTTCAGGGGCTGTGCAGACTCCGCCATGGATATTGTGCAGGAGGAACAAAACGCAAATGCACAAAATTAAACAAGTGTGGTGCTGCGGGCATGTGAACCAAGTTGAGAATGACTGCTTTGAACGATACTACTGCGTTGGTTTTAACATTTATGCTGTATATAGCAATCTAATGTGTTTTTGGTTTGACACGATGTCCGACGTTTTGGACCACGTGTTGGGAGCTTCTTCTTCAGTAACTGATCTTAATAGCGCTATCAGGAACTGAGTCTTTTCGCGTGTCATAATTCTACCATCTCGTGTTTTTTTCCGTCTCTTTTCAACTGTTTTGTTCATTCTCTTAACCTCACTGTAACATTACACGTCGTTTGTGCGTAACTTACTGAACAGGTTCATACATCGATGCACATACTACCCGAACCGTGTGTGTATCGTGAGCGTAGTGCATCGATTGCGATTCATGAAATAACAATGCATCGTCACACGCCTTGCAGACGCCATGTGACGTGCCCTGCTTGCTCCCTGCACGGCAGGCAGGCTTACACTCAATATCCCCATGTGCGTATGCGCCATGTACACAGTAGCATAGCTATCGAGTATGCAGGCAGTTTAACTGCACCGGTGCCCGTGGCCACGGGACTAGAGGGGACAGGCGCCAGGCTACGGGAGAGGAAGTCAATTGGACAAGGCCCACGTTTAATTTGATTTACTAGAGCCCATGCCAACCACACTGCGCCCCTGTAGGACCGTAGGGACGACCTAAGATTCCTGGAGACCCAGGGCTAAGGGCCCAGAGTAGAATGTTACGTGGGCCCCCCTTATTAGTGACAACATGGTTGTGGGGCCCTCTTTTGTGCGAGGCCAGGGGCACATTTTCCCGTTTTGTCCGCCACTCTGGTCGGTCCTGTGTGTACGCCATATCAATGCAGTTCAAGGGCATACTCACACCTCCGTATGGCCCCTTTTGCAGACTTAAAAAAAGGAAACTCCTTCCATTAAGGAATGTGACCATGCTGCGTCTTGATTTATGATAACCCAACGCAATACACGTGCGTTCTCACAGGATTATTAATCTGGCTTTTACTGCCAACTCGTGCAACGGCTTCCAGTCGAAACCATCATTTCCACCCCCTACCCCATCCTCAACCCATCATCTTGCACGGTCACTACATGAATGTGCGCTACACCAGCGGCGCTGACACGTGAAGCTCCTGAACACGTGAGCTGTTGTTAAACCAGCCACGTGTGCACGCATGTATATCCTTTATTGGTCAATCCACTGCTGGATCAGGGCCTCCCCATGCCATGCGGGTCATTTGACCATACTTCGTCATGCTGGTCAGTGCAAGTTAGCGAAGGTGTTGTGGAGCATGGTAGAGTGCAACACTGGCATTTGCCGCAATGCCCTCTGCCGACAACAGATCGCAGTTGCAGCCTACAACAACTGGTTAATGTACGGTGTTGGTCGCCCGTCGAAGCACTTGTCCAAGGCTCAACCCTGCTTACATACTGAGATCCAACAGAGATCGGACAGATTCCAGGCGAGTTTGTCACTCCCCAAAAAACGGATCGTTCGGGGTAGGCTTGCCGGGGTGACAGGAGGACTCTGTATTTAGCCGCAGGCTTCACCGGTGGAGATGGTCGCTGAGTGCAAGGTCCGGCTCTCCGCAGTCGGCTGTCACAAAGTGTCCCATTGTCCTCCTCGGTGGCGGTTGGCATGTTTTGAAGAGGTCTGCGACAGCGCGCAATCGCGTCTCACAAATCAAGCAGGAGACGAGACGCCAGCCGCTAAGGATGCTTGGGACACGCGCTCGCTGCTGTGACCCAACTCGCCATCGCCACCCCGCACGGACACAGCTCCTCAAAGCTTCTCCAGCACCACCCCCAGCAAACGTGAGTGGCGAAAACTCGAGAAGACCCCGAGTCGACGCCATCAAACCGTCCACACACTGCTGCTGGCGTCGCCGACAAAAGTCACGACAGGCGTGCAGCTGGTGCCGCACGAGTGATCATCCTGCTGCTGCTGCTGCTGCGGCTGCTGCTGCTCTAAAGGGGCTTCTGCCCGCAGAGATTTAAGAGAAGCGGTGTCTGGCGTTGGGAGCGGCGCATCGCACAGGCTGTTGGGCCGGAGGGCCTCCTCGTGGCTCGGCAGGTCCTGGGTCTCCTGCAGCCCCGTGGAGGCCATGCTGTGGCCGTTGCGCTGCTCGGCCTCGTCCCGCGACGCCTTCAGGTTCGACACCTGGATGTAGTTGAGTCTGCTCTCGAGCTCCTTGCCCAGCCGCCAGCGCTTCCACTGCTTGCGGACCTCAGCTTGGACCTGCACGCGAACACAACGCCGGCGCGGGCTCAGCTACTGCTGCTGCTGCTTTATCAGCGTATGATGGAGGGGAGGATACGTGCGGCTTAAAAATGAAATTATAAGTGCACTGATGAAAGAAATAGAGTTGGCATGAACAATAACAATCATAATGATAGAGCCAGGGCTTAGTTTCAGCTGCAGCTGAACAGAACCGAGCTCTAGAAGCTATTTTAAATGCCTCCCACGTCCTCCCCCTGCTCAGGTTAGAGGGTTTTAGAGGATTGCAGGACCCTGGACAATCTTCCATGAAAAAGTTAAGCCCTGAATTTCGCTATTGTCATTCAATTAATAAATACCAGAGCATTGGTATTTATTTACTCACGAAAGCCTCACTTAGTCTCAAAATACTATGTTTCAGGAGGGTCACGCTTTTGTTTCTCATGGCCAGTTCCTTTAACACTATTTTGTCTTGTGGCAGTAAATTCCACACAGATAGATCCAAGAATCTATTGCAGTACTACCAACTACTAGTCACCTGATATCCCAAGCCAATAATACCAGCTTTTTCTAGGCATTTTGTCATACAGGTATTAACCAGGCTCAGCCATGCGTAGCTTCTTAGTTCTGGCAAAAATCTGACACATTCAGGGTGATTTGGCTGTAGGCCGGCATTATTTCTTTATTTAGACTGATTTTACTTTAAATAGGCTGATATGTTTACGTAACTCACAAGTGGTGGTGTCAAAATGCGAACGGCTTATTCTCAAACGTTGAACAGATGCATTTTTATGACAACGGGGGGCTATACACAAACAGATGTCTATGCAAAATAAAAATAACAACATTAATAATACATTTTCTTGCCTAAGATAGTCTCAACTGAATGTCTACATCGTTTTTGTACGTCTGGCTTGCAGTTACCGCACTCTATTAGGCTAATAGGCGTTTACCGTAGACTTTCGCCATGGGTTATTACGTGCTGGGATGGAGCTTACTTCTCTGGTGACAAAGCAGTAGAGGATTGCCACAAAAAGACCCTGCAAGACAGAGGAAACAGCCACACAGTTCGGTCATTAGCAGACGCCCGTACAGCCATATCTGTCAATCCACCACCAAATGAGGGCCTCCCCATGCCAAGTGAGTTGTGTGGGTTCTTTCATCGTACTTCACCGCACCTGTTCAGTGCACCTGTTCAGTGCACCTCTGATTATCATGGTTCAACATACATACATACTGAACATACATTCCGTGTGGACACAATTAAAGCCAAGGAGCATTAACATGTGAGCATGAAAGTAGAGTGGAATGGATTTGGCTGCATTGCCCACCCTCTGCCGTCCACCATGGAGCCCGCAAGTCTATACACAAACATTTGTTTGACATAATCTAGTCACCTATCCGAGCACTATCCATGCTACGACCTGCTTAGCTTCCGAGATCTGACAAGATTGCGTGGATTCCAAGTGATTTGGTCATGCAGGGCTTAATTTGCACGCAGGGCTTAATTTTATCTGGAGCTGTTCGGGACTGAGCTCCGGAAATCTGTTCCCACCTCACATTCCCCCCCCCACCCCCATGCCCCCACTTTCCATTGCAGTTGGGGAGGATGGGAAGTAGTGGGCTCTGGGTGGCTGAGGGACTGGAAACAGCGTTGTTTTCACGACACCAATGTTTAAAAGCAATGTACTGCACTGATAGTGCGTATTAAGAAAACTAGCTTGTTAGCCCGTCCTCGGACGGAAGCTGCAGTAGGGGCCAAATCTAGCTCGCATCGAGGCAAAAGAAGCATTAAAAGAGGCATTCATATTATTTTAGCAGGGACTCTTCGGTGTCTTACACAATAGGCAAAGGCGAACAATCTTTGTGGCTGTATAATTTGAAAAAAACCCGTAACTTAATTTAAGTACTGTTTTAAAATCACCTGAAGTTGTTAACTGACAAATTGATCTTCACCGATGGACCCTTGATAGTGGAGAGTGAAGAAAGTAGAGTGCTGCTACTGTCTGAAGTAACTTAGCAAATAACGAAGAGCAAAGATAAGCATTAGAGTTACGAATAAATTGAGCAGAGTGTAATTGTATCTTGTCTAAATGTAATGGCAGGGAATATTGAGAAAAATAATGTCATCAAACACTTCACTGCATTTCACTGTAGCACTGTATTAATGGCAGTGAATGTTGCACAAAAGGAAGTCATAAAACGGACCTCACAGCATTTGACCGCAGCACCGCATTAATGGCAGTGGTTGTCGCACGCAACTAAGTCATAAAACAACTGACGTAATGCCACAGTAGCACTGTATTTAACGGACGTTCAATTACTTGCTCTGATACTGACTTTCGCTCGCTGGGGTTTAAAACAATTTGAATTCGATACAATGTCTGCAAAGTAGCAGAGAAATGTTTCTCGTAGCATAATTTGGAAGCGTAAAGTAGACTTGCCTTTTATTGGACGTGCCGAAGAAATAAATAATGGCACCAAATGCACTGTGATGCGGCATTGAATTATTTATTGCCTTCAATTGCTATAAAGATTCGTAAAATTGAGAGCGAATTTGCAGTAAAAAAATATCATAGCCGTTCGATCCTTCGTCTGTGTTAGTCAAAAATCGAAGCACACATGAATAATAATGAGGGGGGGGCGCATGTGGAGTGACGTCACACGCGGGACACACACACACAGCCTTTTTTGGCTCGTTATATTAGTTGCTGCTTGGATTGCCTGATTAGCTTACTTTCTATAAGAAAGGTCGAAATGAAAGCTACTATGCGTAAACACATTTTAGTTTCTGCTCCACCTTCTTCATGCGGAGTGACGTCAACCGTTTATGATTATTAATGAGGGGGGCTGGTCGACGTGGAGTGACGTCACCCGCGTTACACACAAACAGACATTCTTGGCTCATTGTAGTAGTAATATCGGGGAAATCGGGGGAGCAGCGAAGCAGTGTTCAGCGCCCTGCCCTATGAACCTCGTGAACTGCCTTTGAGTGACAGCCACAGCTACAGCCAGTGACAAGTGACATCTAAAAAACACAAGCCATCGGCCCGTACTGACCGACCGTGATTAAGTATGGTCAAACAAAACCCAACAACAAACACGGCATGGGCAGACAGCACTCCATCCAGCAGATGTCTGTAAAGTACAATTTTAAATTCTTATTTACATCGAGAGAAAAACACTTATACTGCATATTCCGAATTATGTACTAGTGAAACCAGATTGTTACGGTTGCCAAAAGCAGCGCTTGTTTAATTTTGCCACTTGCTGCACACGTGACCCCACGCAAGTTAAATAGCAGCCCTGTCCACAATTAATATACACACACACACATTGCATTAGCGATTCACAATGTCGCTACGACTCTGGCAGAGGGGGCCACTTATAAACAACCAAGACAAACAAGTCGAGCCTCCGCAAGACGCTCTGACAAAATACGAATCTAATTCTCAGTGGACGGGGCTACTCGTGTGCAGCCACGACAGAGCAGGATTTGGCAGAGAAAGGCAGAAGTGGAGGAGGTGGAAATGGTTTGGATGGTAGCTTCATGTGAGAGGCGGGAGCTCTCTAGCCATATATTGCTTACTTGTTTACCGTTTGCTAAACCTTTCATATTAATTGTTTCCTGTTTTGTTTTCCAGAGCCAGGGCATGCCATTGTTTTGGCCGCTTATTCTGCGGCTGTGCGACGGTTGGCTAACAACAGCGGTGAGCAATGTCTGAACCGGTGCTGAACCGCCGACTGTCGCCCACCTGGACTGACCAGCAAGATGTGAAGTATCACTAATGAGTATCCATGACCGACATGGAGTGGAGGAAATACTTCGTCCAGCAGTAGATTGACAAGAAGCTGCATTTGTGCGTATTATATATTTACGTACTGTATGACTTTCATGATCCGCGTCTCCCTTTGAAAAAAGGAATTTGATCTCAACACCTCTCACCTGCTTTTCATGATGATTAAATAACTTGATTTACTAAGATTTGTTTCATGATACATTGTATTACTCAGATATATTGTATTAAATCGTATAGCACCCACCACCATAAATGTGTAATGACAGGGTGACACCTGCTGGCCGGGAAAGGGAATCACGGGTACGGGCACGGTTAAAGTAACAAACAATCAGAGAAGGAGAGGTATCTGGGGCAAAGGTAACAGGTGGGGTTAGCCGAGATGCTCCGGGAACCTGCTCGAAGGTTCCACGAGAGGGTGTGGGCGGAGGCGGGGGCCTAGTCACGCCTGGGGGGATATAAGGGGGAGCGGACCCGGAGCTCAGGGTTCGTGTGTGGAGTCTTGAGTCCTGGCTGCGTCGCTGCTCGCCGACATCTCTCTCCGTCATCCGGCCACGTGGAAGATCTCCTGCGGGGTTTCCATCGCCATCATCGTCACGCCTGCCAGCCAGCGGCGTAGCCGAGTGAGGGCGGTGGGACCACGCCAAGTGATCGGCTGTGTGTAGCCAGTAGAGACGTTAATATCTAAGTGTTGTACTCAGAGTGAGAAGAATAAGTGTTGGCCTGTGTTGTGCCCAGTGTGAGAAATTGAAGAAGAAGTACCCTCTACACGACGTGGCGTGGAAGTCGCTCATGACAAATGCAAGGATACAGGAGTAAGATAAGGATTAATTAATTGCATTACATTCTTCTGCAAGTCAAAAGCAGCTTACGTCACATTTCATCTCACACATTCCACTGCCCTGCTGTAGTCTAGGCTAGGTGACCCCCAGTGGCAACTGTCCATAAATGGCTCAAGGTGAACTCAGCACTGGCCTGTAAGTGAGCATTAGTCTGCCAGTAGGGCATGAGTAATGGCAGGAGGACAAGAAGGACCATAATGTTTAGATTGTACAGAGTGATTCATGCAAACTGCATCACAAAAGCAGGAAGCAAGCAGTCAGGTGGTGCACCAACGCCACAAAAATTGTCCAAGCTCTGCAGTCCTCTATATATATTACGAGCGTTGATTCGTGTGGGAAGAAAAAATGCTACCGTGCAAGGTGGGCAACTCTCGATCCCTGTATAAAAGGGCAATGCCAGCGGCCGCACCTGGAAAGAATTGAAGAAAAGAGCGAAGAAGAGCTTGACGTGGCGCAGCGCATCATGGGCGTGCTCGTCCGTGATGAAGGTGAACACAATCTCGTGGATTCCCAGCAGCGGAATCAGCGTCAGCGTCGACTTGGCCAACCTGGACACAGCGCAGCAGCCGACGAGCCTCCCTCTGCATCGCGTGGGGCATGTGATGTGCAAGTGTGGTCAACTTTCCGAGTTTTAAGTTGTGTTTTCTTGAAGTAGGTGAGAATTCTTGAGACCACGATAGAGTCTCATTTGTAAAAGCGACCTGCGGCATTGTTCTGCCAGTAGGGGGCGATGATTGCCGCTCTGTGTATAATCCCAGGGACATTTTTACATTTGGAAAATTGGGACACTGATGCCCGCGCGCAATGGCCTACTCGTGCAAAGGACGCCAATGTCATATTTATCGTTCACTCTGAAGCAGAGGGTGTGCGTAGTACTATTCCGGTTATTACACCCGCAGAAAATTATCGGGGCCATCGCTAGATTCGAACCGTGATACTCTGCAATAAGCTATAAACGCACTACCGCTGGGCCATTACGGGTATTTGTGCATGTACGTGCTTTCACTGTTGAAACGTGCATGCATGCGTGTGTGTGCACGCATTGTGGTGAGCGGTAGTGCAGTGGTCAGCCCACTGCGTGACCAAGGCGGCCCCAGTTCAATTCCCGCTCGCGGTGAATATCAGTGACGAATATCTGAACTGGTCCTGGGCATCCCCTAGGACGACTCAGCCTTAACTTAGTACCTGGTATGGTGTGGAAACATCATCAATGGGGAGACAAAGGTTGCCGGGTGTGGTGCTGGATGCCCGTCGCCTCATGTGCCGTGCCGGCTTTAATAAGTACTTGAAAACAGCACTCACCACAACTGCCTGTTCAAGGCTACATGGGGGATCTTCGTCTTTGCCGTTCAGCAGCACTTGCAAGGATTAGTTCCATAACAATGCCCTTCCTGCAGCGAGCTGCTTCCACTGCACAGTTTACGAGTTGGTCGCCACAAATATGAGTCTTTTCATGTGCCCCGCATGCCAATGTTGGTTTTTTCAAAAGTGACGGTTGGATATTTTATGCTTTTTATTACACTGCCAAAACCCAAAGTTGGCCAAGGTTTGCGCGGTGCAGTGTCCCTTAAAGGACACGGCTCTGTGAGGAAATGCAACGCACCTGAATTTGAAGTCTGTGTAGCCCATCTGGTGAGCTCTGAGCTTGGAGGTGATAATTTTGAGTATTCTTATGAACATGATGAAGTTGATCTGCAAACACACGGCCAATGGGTCACATTCGCAAACGACACAAAGTCTTGCGTGGCAATATAAAGAGCGCCCATTAAGGTCATCATGAGCATCATTATCCATAATAAAGGCTTTTGGATTAGATCGCGTAAATATAAATGTGTCGCAACCCTCCACCACCCGACGCGGCCAATCAGTCAAAAATGTGTCACGTTAACAAAACTCTAATTAGTTACTTCTTCAGCCCACCGGTGTGTTTGAAGAGTGAATCTACAACATTTCGAATTTGAGTACGACGTTTCGCTGGTAATTACATCCAGCATCGTCGGGCGATTTGGCAGAATAGTCTTAAATAGTGCAGGACAAAGTCATCATTGAACCCCATCAGGTTTCGAGATCAGAAGCGGAGGTAGGGGGTGTATTGTAATTATATAATAGATCAGTAATCAGTTAATTAGTATGTGATTCCTCTATATGGAAATGTAATATGTATTGTGTATTATTTAATGATACGCTTCCAGGCTGCGCTAAGTCTGTAGCTATCAGAGCGGGTAAAATAATTGGTATTCATCTCAATTTCAATGGATTCTCTAATTAGTCTTGGCCAGTTATTATTAGTTTTGTATAACACTACAACGTTATCAAAATCATTATGAGACCTCCTTTGCGTTATCAAAATCAATTGAGTGTCTTTGTTGGAAAGCATGTTCTGCCACTGCCGACAGTTGTGTTTGAGATCATTTAGTCTTATGCTAATGTTACGTCCCGTCTGTCCAATATAGCAATTGATCCGATATACACCTATCATCATCTCTGCGGTGTAAACCCCTTTCTTTACGTTCCCTCCCTTGGCTGTCACTCTGTAGTTATCCTCGGTCACCGGTCATCACTTGCAACAACGTGTGGACAGGTCCATAAAAGGTAATGTTCACTTTCTAAATAAAATATTTGTAAATGTAGGTATCAGTTTAAACTGCGCAGTTGAAATGTTGGGTCACGTGTTCCCTGGAGAACTTTTTCTTTTTTTCAAACGCAACAATTTTCGAGCGATCTTCAGCTATCCATGAGAGAAGCGTCTAAGTATAGTAGTAGGTTTTTACCCTTTTAAACTGGTACAAAACTGATACCTTTATACAAGGCATCATGTTTGCAATAACCACAACACAAGTAGTCAAAAATGCAAACAAAAAGAAGCAACTCTGATAATGATAATAATATGCACTGTCCTTGAAGTTGATTGGTCCACACCCGAGACAGCTTTCTTTAGAGCCTAGTCCCCATTGGTGTTGGACCAGATGACACCAGAAGGCGCACAACTCAAACACAGTGCAATATCAGAGTATTGAGAAGCGTTCAAGGCGAGCAACCACAGCGCTGGAGATGCAGCAGATTAGTTTGGGTCTCTCAACATTCTCGACGAGATTCACGTCGCAACCGACACGGTTTGGGGACGTGCGGATGTTTAAGAAGGATGAGGCTCGTGCGACGAGACTGCGCGCCGCGTAGTTTGACTGACCTTGCTCAACTTGCTGTCTGATTTGATGGGGTTGTTTTAAACAAACGGATGCTACCTCTCGCGGACGTTCTGTAAACGCGATGTGCACTTGTCCGGCTGACACGGCGCACACGTGAGTCTGGGGCGCTGTGAGCGCAGCCGTGCGCTTTGCCTAAACCTCCTCCAGCGGCGATGTTTTCAACCTCAGCACCCGCTGTTGTTATGTTAAATTAATGAACCAATTCCTGCGCTTTGCCGATCTACTGCTGGATGAATACCTCCCCACGCCGTGCAGTAAAGGAGGTTGCTATATCGTTTTTCCCTCGGCCGGTCGATGAGGAAGAATAAGTTAGTAGAATATAATTTCCCCCGCGTTTATTCGAGCCAATCGTGTAACGTACCCTTTTCTCAACCAGAATCGCTGCACGAATGGCCGCAGATGGAGCTGCGCGGCGTGATTGATGCATTGTTTTCACCACAGCATCCTGATTATAGCTGTCTGTAATTCGACGGAATCCATCACGAGTAGATTATTTTGACGTAAAATGTATCGCTGCGTGCAAAGCGCCTATATTTATTTGGTCGACAAACTGTAACGATGTTTACATTTTTACCCTGTACGCAAGTAAGACTTTTTTTTTGGGAGGGTGGGGGGGGGCGGGAAGCACGCGAGTACCCTTTTTATCTGTCCTTCCGACAAACTTGAATTTGAATAAAAGACGTGGAGTTCAAATTGAAAAGAAACAAAGTGAATTGGAGACCTGGTAATATTTTAGTTATTAAATTTAAAAAGACACACGGGGGAGTGGGAGCAGAAAGGAGTTTAGCGTTGCACGTTTCACGGATGCGGTTATGAGTAGAGAAACCACCAAGCTACACGCAGCAACACTTTGGATCAAATCATTCTCACATCCATCCTCGCCACCCCATTGCATTTGCCCCCCCCCCCCCCCTCAAACCCACAACCCCCCATACCACCCATTTACCGCATGTTTTGTAAACTTAACGCTGGCCCGCGGAATGCGTTGCAAATTAATGGCCCATTTGGCAATACCAACGTTGGTTTTGTACATATAATATACAGCCCTAGTCTGGGGACACTGTCACATTCGTCATATTTGCTTTTGTGAGCCATCACCAGCTTTTCTCTGTCCCATTTTCAGGCGACCGACACATCCCGCTGTCTTCCAATGAGTGCAGGGAGGTGTGGTCATTGTTGGGTGAGGTAGGGTTGAGAATTAGAATGCTGTACATTTCAACACCAACCTATTACTAAACCCGTGCCTCAAAAGTTTAACTTTTGCACAATGTTTATACAATAACTCGTCCTCAAAACATCTTCGGAATTGATTTTTACTTTGCAAAGATATGCTGGAAGGGTGCATTAACCGAAATGCAGGTGATGACCTCAATCTTTGCTGGGGAAAGTTACGGCGCATTAATTTTTGTGTTTGCCTCTTTGCAATCTTCAGCGGGCAGTATAAATGTCCAGAGAAAGATGATGACGCGGAATTACTTCTAGGTCACAGCACTTAGGATGAGTAGGCCAAGTCACCCTTGAAAAAGACCACCACAGTATAGCTAATGGGCTTTACTTAGGTACTGAACATCTGACATCGGACTTCTTCTGATTTTTTTCCATACAGCGTCGAGGAAGCACTCAATGTGACCACAGGAAAACGGGGACCTATGGTATTGGCCATGAGCGATGTAGAACCTATGAACTTTGAAAAATATTCTTGGTTCGTTTGGTAAAGTCACGTAGAAGGGAAATAATAATAATAAAAACAATCATCAGGTGTGAAAACCACACCTGATGATTGCTTATATTGCAATCGAAACGTCGTGAGAATGTTATTGTTTTATTATTATTTTCGTTCTACGTGACTTTACCGAAAGAACTAAGAATATGAATCCCTGCAGTCACGAAAGCTTTGAATCGAAACTTTGAATAAGGTAAACAAAAACACCTGCAAAAATAGATTGTCTCACACCACCATCAGAGGGTATTCAACCAGATGGCTCAGTGGCAAGACTGCAAGTTCAAATCTTAGCTGCGGGTTGCCTCAGCCCATCATCCTTCTGGAGTCAATAAAATACCAACCACTTTGTGGGTAAGTCAACAGTGATTGCATGATGGATAGACTCGCCCCTACAATCGGAACGTGGCATATACACCACTGGTTCAGGGCTGTGAAGAGGAGATGATCACTCCCTCAATGCTCACTTGAATGGGAACTCACTTTATTGACTTTGGATGGTAGTAGTGCGCGAAATCCCACGCAGGCCTTAGTTCACTCGTGCAATGCAGTTCCATTCATGTTTGTAGTTTGGAGAAAAACAATTGCATCAATCACATCTGTCGGACGGGCTGGCTCTGGCTTCTACTCTATAAGAATGTGCAATGCAATGTCGAAGGGGAGACACGTGTTCTCACCAGAATGGCGAGGTGTATGGGCGTGCGGATGATCCACCAGTAGCCCATGTTCTCATTGTGCCCCCAGCACCTGTGATTACAATGCCATGTCACCAACATCAACATCATGCTATATCACGATCATCATCATCATCCATACCATGTCACTATCATCAATATGGCCTAACACGTTCGCCGCTCGTTACCGAGGTTCCTGGGTCGAATCCAGATGTCTCCCTGATCTTTACTTCCGGTGTAGTAACCAAGTCATTACAACATGCCACCTGCTTCATGGTGGACATTAAATATCCATAGTAGACATTGTTTACGTGACAGGCCGTACTTGTCATCTGTGTTGGGTGGTGGTAGCGGGTAACAACACTTTCATAATAACGCAATCAAACCCCCCAAAAAATATTTATTTTCGATTAAAGATCCCCTGACGTCATACACAATAATAGGCCGTTATGTGCCGGCGTCAAGATTCAAATTTTCCTTTTCAAGTGCATAAAAACTAATGAAAGTTCAGCATTGTTTGCACATTCCATCGGCCACGTGACCGTCTAGGAGTCCACCATTTCAGCAGCGCTGATCCAACACAAGCAAAACTGTGCCTGTCCCTGCTGATGCGGAACTCAACGTCGCATGAATCAGGCTCGCTCGAACCAATGCTGGTGAACTGCCAGATGTTGCTAGGCATGGACCCCCTCTGTTACATATCGGTCCTTACTCAATGCAAAATGATACAGCACAAGGCAAGGACCTGTTCACCCTCATAGTGAATCTTATGTCACGTGAAGCGGTGATTGCTGTGATGTTGGCTGGGAATATGTAGTTTGTGGTTGTTTCTGTTGTTGTTGAGGTTTTACATTGTGACAAGAATGGTTTCCACAGTATCTTGTTCTGACTGTTGGTATTCAACTCTGGGGAGTTGCCTGTGGTCAAATCACAGAGTATATAGGCCCATCTCGTCAGATCTTGGAAGCCAAGTAAGCCTGAATAGTGCTTGAATGGGTAACCGTCGTGCACAAACGGGTTGCTATAGGCTGCTGTGGGGTTATGTGGTGAGCAGCCGAGGGCAATTTCAGCGAAATCCATTGCTGCTCTGTGCTTCTTCGCTTCCACATCCACGCTCCCCGCCTTCACCAACCCAAACTGACTAGCGTGGCGAAGTATGGTCAAATAACTCCCACGACTCGTACGGTGTGAGAAGGCCCTCATCCAGCAGTGGATTGACAAACGGGCTGCACGTGTACAGTACATGGGGGAGGGGGGGTGATCCGAGTTTGATGGGTTAGGACATGGCAAGGCTTACGGGCAAAGGTGCATGTCAAAGCTAAAGGCCAATTGTCAGCGTAACAAGACCTGTTCAGTCTGCCCGAATCTCTCGTCTTCTGCGTTCATGTGTTGTGTCGGTCAGCAATGTTAATGTGTTCATGCCGAGGTTTGTGGGTACGCCATTGTGGAGCGTTGCAGGAGCAACCGCATGGTGAATATCTGAAAATTTGCCGGCGAACGTTGGAAGTGCGGTCCACAGTTTAACATTGGTGAGCGCGTTCACCCATAATTGACTCAGAAAGGCCTTGCTGAATCTCAGGACTTTCGTTCAGGAGAATTGTTCCATGGGATGTTTGGCCAATTCCATTCAAGAGTGTGTTTTTTGTGTGTAAGAAAGAGGAAACAGGAGAAAACCCACCAAGTATATTTGAGACGATAACCACTCAAAACTTCACGAAGATGAAATCAAGAATGTGTGTGTTGCCATAATAATAGTTTACATTTGCAAGCCGCATTTCATATGTAGATCCAATGTGCCATCTCTTAGCCTGGCAGGTTTGTGCGTTTCAAATATCTTTAGATGATCCACCAATCTCTTACTTCCAAAGCACCGAATCACAGGTGCATGCCACAGTGGGCAGCTACCTGCCAATTGGCAGGTGTGGTGGAGTAAACCACCACACACACCACTCCACCTTTGCCCCCACTGAGCTGATGTAGCCCGAACCACATTTTAGGCTGAGTCGACTTAGAAGATGCACAAGTCAGGTTCAGATTCCAATTGGTAGGCACATAACGATAATCAATTCAAACTGATTCCCATGTTTGCAATATATGTGTGGAATCACGCATGTTGTCTTTTATTTAATTATGAAAATGACAACGTGTGTGCTACGTGTTGGCTAATAGAACGGACACAGCAGAACAGGGAGGGGGGCGGAACCAAGGAGACAGAACCAAAGAAACTCACGATACGGATGTCACAGTACAAACTCGGGAACAAGAATTGTGGCTCAAATCGAATCGGGGCAACCGATTCGTGACAACTCATCATTAATTGCCGACTGAATTCCACCACTGTTGTGGATACCGTGGCCAGGAATTGAACCTGGTGGCCAGGACCTTAGCACAGTGCATAACCCACTGCACCACCATCACCACCACCGCACCAGATAGTCCATGATATTTCACTGGTCGGCACCACCCAAGGTGGAATAACTTTCGCGGTTCCAATTTCTTCACGTGTCAATATCAGTGAATTACGCGATGACCATGTTGAAATGCGTGGGTCAGCAAGTAATCCACTCTTATTCACCGAAAAAAAAATTTCCACGCTGCACCCAGGTACTCATTTAAGGCTGAGCCGACCTAGGGAAAGGCTGAGGACCGGTTCTGATATCGCTCTCCACAGACATCATCCTCACTTGTATAACAAAGAGACAAAAATCCCCCATATAGACTTCTCATATAGCCTTCCCATATAGCCTTCCCATATAGCCTTCCCATATAGCCTTCCAAAATAGCCTTAACAGACTTTAGGGGCAAGTGCTGTTAGCGAGCACCTATAAAGGCCGAGGGTGTGGGTGGCCAGCACCACGCCCGACTGCCTTTGTCTCCCTAGTGGCGATCTTTACACACCGCACCAGGTACTCAATTGAGGTTGAGTCGACCTAGGGGAGGCCCAGGACCAGTTCAGATAATCGTCACTGGTGTTGGCAGTGAGCGGGAATCGAACCCGTGTCGCCGGGTTCATAGCGCAGCGCGCTAACCGCTACAATACCGCCCCCCCCCCCCCCCCCACTATAACACACGCACACACACACATATGTATGTTCACACTTACTCTGTATTTTCCTTCAAATATTTCAACACCACCCAGGGAGCCACGAACAGCACGGGGGTTCCTGCAGATGCGGCCGCAGTGCCGCGCCACCGGCAACACAGACACGGAGCAAATCACACACTACACAGCACACCCCCCCCCCCCCCCACCTGAAAATCATAGGCGCCTTGTAGAATGTTTTCGCCGAAGGGCCGGCTCGAAACGTGCAAAATCCACGGCTTCGCAAATCAAGGCATCTCTTAAACAATGCACACGAGGACGTAAATATCCCGGCTAACGGTTTATTTTGACATTGGATTGTCAACAGCGCAAACGCAGAGCAATGCGCGGTGGGGGGGGGGGGCGGCAGGAGAAGGGGTGGGGAGCGCTCGCATGTCTCGGTGGGAATCAGGAGCAGCCCCTCGCCACTGCCCGCGTCGTCGTCGTCGTCGTCATCATTGCCACGTGGTTCGGGGGGGGGGGGCAGTCGGGGGGCAGCGTTGCCAAACGGCCTTACGGAAAGTTGACAAACAAACCTCAGCGATGCTGAATGTCACTAGATCAATATTTTTGTTGTTGTTGTTGTGTGTTTAGTTTGTTGTCCTTCCCCCGCATCTCCGATTAGCACGGTTGGCTACGTACGGTGCAAAAGAAGTTCAACATACATACATTCTAAAGCCATTGAAAAGTCACTGAACAGTTTTGCCATAGTTTACCATGCATAAAAACGCAGTTAACCATGGGTAAAGAGCAGTTTACCATGCGTAAGAGCAAGTGTTATGCATACTAAACTGAAAGCTAAAGGTGAAAACCTCTAATTGCATCCTCATGCCTCTCCCAGGCAGAGCTCGAGTAAGCCCCTCTAAAGGGTGTTTGCCATACTCTTCCATGTTGGCCAGATGTCTTGGAAAAGGTGACAGTGCCGACGCTTTAGCCCATCACACGTGATCTGCCCTAAGACCAAGTGTGACATTACCCATTTATACTGTGGGGAGGGTGGAGATAGGAGGAGATTTCCAGATAAAACCAGAAACTTCTGGATTGGAAGCCCAATTAGCTGACCGTTACACCACTGTGACGGCATCCTGTAAAAGGACCACATTTGTCCATCAAACCGATTGGAATGGCTACTGAATCCAGAAATTACCCTTGTATAGAAAGCCGCTAGATTTGTCGCTCGTCACGTTTTTTATATAAAGCTACGTTGCTAAGGAAAATGTAAGAGGGCCCACGCTTTACCCCAAAAAACGTCACGAAGATTGTGTGACAAAATCGCCAAGTTGATACCACCGGGGAAGAATCAGGAGTGACACTTTACACTGGCCAGCACCATGTCTGCTCATTGGCTCTAGGCGATGCCCTTTGCTTAGGTACCAGCCTGTGATCATTATCACTGCGTACATAATCATTATCATTATTCACCCTATGCAGAAGATCGAGGCTTCAATCTGCCATGAAGCAAATGGGCACAACTCCAAACCGCACAAGCCACGGCAGATGCGGATACTTGGTCAGCACGATAGGAAAATGCTAAAAATTATCCGGCAGTGTGCGGCGACGGTGGTAACGCAGAAAACGACCGTGGGACATGGAGCGACTCAACGCCCGATTCACAGACACACGAAAGAGGAAGCGTCAAAGCGATCTACTGTGCTACTCCTGACGCAATCATCTGGCTCAACCACCCAAATGTCAAATTAGAGTCATCACTCTACATCAGGGGTGACCATTCTGTAAAAAATCAAGAGCCAAAATTTACTCTGTCAGTTCTGCAAAGAGCCAAATGTTTGTGTTTCAGTGTGTGTGTATATGTAGACAGTTTTCGGCACAACACGGGGAGATAGTCATTTGTCTTTGCTACTGTCATAGGACGTTCTACGTTATGCCCCTTCGATAGAGTTGGTGGATTAAAGAGCCGCATGCGGCTCTGGAGACGCAGGTTGGACCACCGCTGCTCTAGATCAACATCAGCTGTACGAGCTCACTACTTTGAGGGGGGAGAGTTCGAAGGGGGTGGGTGCAGGGAGTGTGGTGAGATGTGACCCACCCCAGCCGACGGCGAGGTACACCTTGAAGTAGGTCTCCTCGGAGAAGACAGGCACCACGAGCAGCGTGTGCAGGTACACGCCCTCCACCAGCAGCCAGTAGTAGTTGGCGACGATGCAGTACTGCGTGAGCACCTGCGCCGTACGGCAGCCTGCCGCCGCCTGCACGCGCCGCACACGCACGCACGCGAGTGAGGTGAGATGTTAACTCCCTCGCCTGGTACACAGGAGGTCGCGGGTTCGATCCCGACCCTGACGCCCGCTATATATTTGGAGTTTGCGTGTCTCCCTCTCTCTCTCCCCGTGGTCGCGTGGAATTTTTTCTCCGGGTCCTCCGGTTTTTCCCTGCACATTTAGAATCAACATCACACGTTTAGACTATTTGGCTGCTATGTATTTTAACTTGATAAGCCACATCGCTGAGCTCACATTTGTGGCCAGGTAGCTTCGTAAACATATATGTAGCTCAGTGGGCCTTACCTGGTAAAACAATAAATAGTTTATATAGTATCCAGTAGAGCGAGCGGTAGAGCGAGCAAGAGCGAGCAGCTTACCGATGGAAGGTTGCGAGCTCAAATGCTGGTTGGGGGTTGACTATGCACAGCATCCCTCTGGGGTCGATAGCAAGAATACCGCTTCGTAAGGAAGTCCAAAGTGGTTATCCTAAGGATAGCCTCGCCCTTATCGTATAAATGTGGAATGTTCATCACTGGCTCAGGACTGTAAGCAGAAGATGAGCAGGCAATCACATTGGCTTGGTTGTCTCCACGTAAACATGGTGTATGGTCTTGCTTTTTGCGTTGAACGGAGGTCCCATATTTTAAAATGTAGCCCTTCTTACCAATAACATCTGGTAATCCAGCAGCATTTGTTTAATGAGTCTGACTGCTGATGAGACCCAGAAGGTAAAAAAACCAGTCCACAGTCTGCTTGCTTAAATGCAGCTTGATAATTGGTTCTTTACCCTTCTATCTGGCAACAAAACTGACACCTTTTTGCAAGGAGTCATGTTTGCATAGACCGCAATACCTGCAGTCATAATACAAACAAAAGAACATAACTCTGATAATGTGCACTGTCCTTGAAGTTGATTGGTCCACACCCGAGACAGCTTTCCTTCGAGCCTAGTCTCATATGGGTTGGACCAGATGACGCCAAAAGGCGCACAACTCAAGGACAATGCACCATCAGAGTATGAGAGCTCGGGGCAAGCATCTACACTATGGGGACCTCATTTGCCAGTAAAAATATGATAATTGGTTCTTTACCCTTCTATCTGGCAACAAAACTGACACCTTTTTGCAAGGAGTCATGTTTGCATAGACCGCAATACCTGCAGTCATAATACAAACAAAAGAACATAACTCTGATAATGTGCACTGTCCTTGAAGTTGATTGGTCCACACCCGAGACAGCTTTCCTTAGAGCCTAGTCTCATGGGTTGGACCAGATGACGCCAGAGTTGTGTTTTTTGTTTGCATTATGACTGCAGGTATTGCGGTCTATGCAAACATGACTCCTTGTAAAAAGGTGTCAGTTTTGTTGCCAGATATAAGGGTAAAAAACCAATTATCATATTTTTACTGGCAAATGAGGTTCCAATGGTGTAGATGCTTGCCCCGAGCTCTCATACTCTGATGGTGCATTGTCCTTGAGTTGTGCGCCTTTTGGCGTCATCTGGTCCAACCCATATGAGACTAGGCTCGAAGGAAAGCTGTCTCGGGTGTGGACCAATCAACTTCAAGGACAGTGCACATTATCAGAGTTATGTTCTTTTGTTTGTATTATGACTGCAGGTATTGCGGCCTATGCAAACATGACTCCTTGCAAAAAGGTGTCAGTTGTGTTGCCAGATAGAAGGGTAAAGAACCAATTATCATATTTTTACTGGCAAATGAGGTCCCCATAGTGTAGATGCTTGCCCCGAGCTCTCATACTCTGATGGTGCATTGTCCTTGAGTTGTGCGCCTTTTGGCGTCATCTGGTCCAACCCATATGAGACTAGGCTCGAAGGAAAGCTGTCTCGGGTGTGGACCAATCAACTTCAAGGACAGTGCACATTATCAGAGTTATGTTCTTTTGTTTGTATTATGACTGCAGGTATTGCGGTCTATGCAAACATGACTCCTTGCAAAAAGGTGTCAGTTTTGTTGCCAGATAGAAGGGTAAAGAACCAATTATCATATTTTTACTGGCAAATGAGGTCCCCATAGTGTAAATGCAGCTTGATAACATTGGTCTGGAAAGCCTTGAGGCTGATGGACTCACAATATATAAGATAACTACACAAAGACCTACGCAGACGAAGTATCCGATTCGTTCCGGTTTGGGCTCATCAATGGGTGCACTTTGTATGAAAACAGAATGAGTGGTAGCTGTCCACAGTAAAGCGACCAATCACCCCCCCTCCCCCACCCCAGCCTAGCCCCCACCGATTTACACGCAACTCCGACAGGCAAATGGCAGGGCATTAGGGGCACATTTTGGAAGGCAAGGGCACATTTTAGAGATAATCCCTCTCCAACCAACCCCTCCCCCCACTCCACCCTCCACAACATCCCACGTCCATCGCCCACTCACCCTGCCCCACCTGCTCGTGATTCAGACTTGCTCCCGAGGGCTTTTGCGGCGAGTGACCTTTAGCTGCCCCCACGCAAATACAGCACGCACTCCAAGAGCGTCGCATCCGCTGCAGCCCGGTTCACGACAGCGACCCCTTCGTAGCGACGCCTGCGACCAGATCGGCCGCAACGCGTCCGATCGCGTCGGCTCTCGGAAGCCAAAGCGGGCTTTGAGCCTGGGCCGAGGCTCTGACTGGTGGCCGCCGTGCACAAGAAGGTGGCAGTTGCGGGCGTGGGGGCTGGTGAAGGCACCGTCAGGACGCGGCAGCGCCACGATGCGTGGTGAGTTGCGTCCGGATTCTCGGGTTTGATTCCCGCATGGGGCCACTCGTGTGTTGTCCCAGCCAAATGGAGTCACTCGCCCACCTTGTCACTGAGCGTCATCCGAGTCTTTGGGTTTACCCGCCCACCTCGTCATTAATGAGCGTGTCTCTTGCCGATTGATTCACTCACCTGGCTACCTCGTCACTCATGAGGGTCTTCATCGTCGATGGGTTCACTCACCCACCTCGTCACTAATGAGAGTGTCCCTAGTCGGTGGGATCACCCCCCCCCCCCACCCACCTCGTCACTAATGAGGGTCTTCCTAATCAATGGAATCACCCACCCACCTCGTCACTAATGATGGTCTTCCTCCTCAATGGAATGACCCACCCACCTCGTCACTAATGAGGGTCTTCCTTTACAATGGAATCACCCACCCACCTCGTCACTAATGATGGTCTTCCTCCTCAATGGAATGACCCACCCACCTCGTCACTAATGAGGGTCTTCCTTTACAATGGAATCATCCACCCACCTCGTCACTAATGATGGTCTTCCTCCTCAATGGAATGACCCACCCACCTCATCACTAATGAGCGTCTTCCTGATCAATGGAATGACCCACCCACCTCGTCACTAATGAAGGTATTCCTGATCAATGGAATGACCCACCCACCTCATCACTAATGAGCGTCTTCCTGATGAATGGAATGACCCACCCACCTCATCACTAATGAAGGTATTCCTGATCAATGGAATGACCCACCCACCTCATCACTAATGAGCGTCTTCCTGATGAATGGAATGACCCACCCACCTCGTCGCTGATCAGGGTGCCCCAGTCCATGGACTCGCCAAGGGGCATATCCCAGCGCGTCTCCAGCAGAGCGTCGCGCACCAGGATGGACGCCGCTCTCAGCATGAAGGAGGCGAAGAGGTTCGCGTGGATCGAGTTGCGGGTGCAGTGAAGCCTCCTGGGCAACCACGAGCACGCGATTCGGCGATGACGCGACCAGAGCACGCAATCGTGCAATCGCACGAGCACACGATCACGTGGTCACGCGATCACGAGAAGACGCGATCACGCAATCGCACCGCCAGCCACCTCCACCACGGTAGGATCCGTGTGTTATTGCGGCCTCCTGCGAAGGGGCCCCTCTGAGCTGTTGCGAGTGACGGAGGGGTGCTCCAGGGTTGATGCTTGCGACACTTGTGTACGCATTGCCTGGACTCTCTTCTCGTATCATGAGCTCAAGTGATTGCTGACTTTGTTTCCATTCCTTTATCGAAATTAAAGTAAAAATGTGTTTCTCAACGTTTAGCGCATTGAGATGATTACTGACTTTTTTCCATTCCTTTATCGAAATTTAAGTTAAAATGCACTATCAGAGTAATAATTGTACTATTTTTACAATTATTATAGAATGTATAACTTTACTATAATAAATTATCTAAATGCAACCGCATCTCAAGAAGATCCATTTTGTTTGTGAGTTAGGCCACGTGGTACAGTTTATTTATAAAATACTTGTCAATGACCCTCCACCACCCGACAAGATTGTCACGTTTACAAATATGTTATATATACGTGGCCAATGTATCAATCAAAGTCTGCCCACTAAAACAGCAGGAATACGCACGACTGGAATTGAAATCAAACTGCTCTGAGCTTCATCGGGTGGCCAACTCAGCGCTCAATTTCCGAGTGTTCACGAAGCAACTTCATGTGGAGTGGCAGCCAGTGACGGGCAGAAGAGAGGTGGACAGTCATGCGACTGGACTCGAACAGGGGTCGGGTCTCAGTACTGTGAACGATTGGAAGGAAATGAAATTCCAGAAACAGACAGCAGAGAAGAAACGACATCCCCTATCAAAATAATTTTGTCAGGAAGCCTTTCAATATTGACGCGGAGATCATGTGCAAGGTGGGGGGGGCAGAGTGAGATGAAAGCGGGGAGAGGCAGGTGAGACTGGGTCAGACGGGGGGGTGTCGGGGGGGAGTGATGACAAGGGGAGGAAACGTCTCAAATGTCTCAGGACCCCGAGCGGTCGATGGGCTCGCTGCCGCACGCACCTGAAGGACAGCAGCACGGCCAGCGCGATAGTGAGGACAGCCAGGGACAGCGAGTAGCCCACGGTGTACATCGTCTTGTAGCCACTCAGGATCTGAGACTGACCGGACTGCCGCACACACAAACGCCGTCGCGACACCAGCGATCGTCTGTACCCATGTGCGTGCCTCGACGACACACGCCCCCCCCCACATCCCCCTCACCCCCCCTCACCCCCCCCCCCCCCCGTGTTTCTTTAGAAGGCCCCTCAGGTAAAGCTTTTGGGAGCCTGAGTCGTAGAATTGGGATCCTTTTCATCATTCAGCGCAGGGAGCACACTGAATGGGATCAACATTCGCATTTATATGAACTAAAGGTAAAGATTCCCCATATAGCTTCTCACAGACTGTTGAGGCAAATACTGTTCGCGAGCACCTATGAAGGCCGACCGCTCCCCACACATAGACACACACGCATCCTTGTGCCTCGATGGGTTCAGGGGCCCTTTCCTCCCTATCCATGCAGAAGACGACTTAAATCATTTAAATGGCTCTTGTTGTGATGCACAAGAACACCCAAAGACAAACATACCCCGTATAGCCTTCAACAGACTGTTGGGGCAAGTGCCGTGAGCGAGTAGCGGCCTATGAAATCTGGCACGGCCACACGAGGGGTGGGGGGCCAGCACCACGGAGACACACGAACCCACGCACACACACACAAGCGCGCGAACACGCACGCACAAGCGCACAAGCACACGCACGCACACACTAGCGTGCACACGCACGCACACACACAACACACAAGCGCGCACATGCACGCACACACTAGCGTGCACACGCACGCACACACGCACACACAAGCGCGCACACACACACGCACACACACGCGCGCACACACACGCACACACAAGCGCGCACACACACACGCACACACGCACGCACACAGTAGCGTGCACACGAACGCAAACACTAGCGTGCACACGCACGCCCACACACACACGCATTCACGCACACAAAAACACGCACGCACACTCACGCACACACACGCACACACAAAAACGCACGCACACGCACACCCGCACACACAAGCGCACTCACCTGCTCCCCGACGGGAGGGTCCGCGCACTGGCTGAGGTCGCGCCACGGTTGCCCGTCGCTGTCCGTCTCCCACTGCCCATCGGGGCCACAGCGCCTGTACGCGAGGCCATGGCGGACTGGACAGGCACATGCCGAGCTCCGTTAGTGGAGAAAGCGAGCGTGACGGCCGGCGCTCGGAGACGCGAGCCGGCCGTCACCTCGTCGATGACGCACCGTCATCATCATCGTCGCTGCCGGAGTCACGATAAATGTTTATGCCGCCGTGCATTCCAACCCCAGGAGGAATTTGAGCGTTTGCCACTGCGGAGAACTAGTTACAATTTTTTTATCACAAATGTCTCGTGATTATATCAACAGGGTATCTGTAACTGGATATCCCTATAAAAGGCCCACTGAGCTATATAGCTCTTATTTCAGAAGCGACCTGGCCACAACTGATTTTCCCAACGAATTGGCTTATCATGTGGACATTCATAGCAGCCAATAATTATCTAAATGCGTCTTTCTAAATGTGGAGGGAAAAAACCTTAGGGCCCGGAGAAAATTCCACGCGACCACGGGGACAACATGCAAACTGCAAATACACAGGCATGAGTTGTCAGGATCGAACCCACGACCTCCTGTATACCAGGCCAGGTAGTTAACATTTCGCCACAGGTGGTGCCCTTCTATTCGTATAGGCCAGGGGTCGGCAACCAAAATAACAAGAAGAGCCATTTATTTCCAATTCGGTACAAAATTCAGTATTTCAAGAGCCGCAATGCATCTGAGTACATACTGTACATACGTACATATCGTCAAGAAGCAGCCCGTAAAGAGCCGCATGCGGCTCCGGAGCCGTAGGTTGCCGACCCTTGGTATAGGCTGAGTGAGCGTCTTTCGCAATGAAATTATTTCTCTGGAACGGCGGCAACCGCCAGCACCACGTGCGATGACGTATGCATCGTTTATACCGTTGCGTCCAGATTATAATTGCCCGCAAGTGGATGGGATCCATCACGCGTCGTTCACTTCAACTCATTTCACTGAACGCGCAATCAATGTATTGAACAAAACATGGCGAATGTGCTACATTTGTATTCAGTTTGCGAATAGGACAAACTTCCTGGAAGGACGCGTACAGTTGTATCCATCCTATTGGAGGGGTGGCTAAACAGTTCATGCACTTTGCTATGGCACCCAGCCACCCGAGTTCAATTCCCACTCACAGCTAACATGAGATTGGCACGCGATATCTGAACCATTCCTGCCCCCTGCCCCTTCACCAGCTCGCATGCGGTGAAGCATGGTGAAACAACCCCCATCGCTGACATCATGTGGGGAGGCCTTCATCCAACAGTGGATTGACAAATGGCTGTACAATTATAATATAGACCGTATTCTCTGGAGTATGCGACGCACCTTATTTCTCTGTATTTCACAACAAAGTTTGAGCGTGCATCTTGAAATCCAGTACAGATTAGTATAACCGTTTTGATATCGGATACAATGTTGGTGTGCGTTTAGAGCATCGCATAATGGTGGCGAGATGTTAACTACCTTGCCTGGTATACAGGAGGTCGTGGGTTCGATCCCGACCCGTCTTCTCTTTGTGGTCGCGTGGATTTTTCGCCGGGTCCTCCTGTTTTCCCCTCCACATTTAGAATCGACGAGTTTAGAGTATCTGGCTGCCATAAATGTCTAGCTTCTGACCATGCCGCTTCTGAAAAAGAGCTGTATAACTCAGTGGGACCTCATCTGTTGATATAAATATAGTTGACAATTTAATAATCTGGAGAATATGATCGGTTTTCCGCATTTTACTCATACAAATGTCAGTGACTGCTCCACCTGGCCACACCTTCCCACCCCAGGGTCAATGTTTCTCCCTCAGTCCCTCCCACCCTCCCCCACCGTATGGGTTGGGGAAGTGCCGCTCACCTTTGTCGTGCCAGGGCACGTACCAGGGGCACGACACGTTCACCACCGAGTCGGGCAGCGCGTCCGGCCAGCACGCGTAGCGGTCAAACGTGCGGTTGCAGTAGACACCTGCACAACCGGGACCACACAGCGAGCGGTCAGCGGCAGGATGAGTCTGTTGTGGTGGGTTGTCGATTATAATAGCAATGATAAAAAAAAATGGATGCCTTCACTTGCAATAAAGCCTCACGAATACAATTATTAGTTTGTGAATTAATTCCCAAGTCGAATCATGTTGCCCAATCCTGATACATCCTTTGAATAATAGTGGGATGAATGGTAATGTTACGAATACTAATGCCCTCTCTTTACTCAGGGAAGAAGCCTCATTGGGTTGTCATGCTCTTTAACAGGAGGGCCCTGCATTGGGATTTTTTGAACAGTTGTATCAATGGGTGTTTGTTACGTGGGAGGAAATATAATTAAATCAAATTCCATGCATATGAGGGGGTGACGATCAACCTCCACACAGGTAGATCCAAAATGTAATTTCTGTGGTGCCATCTTCTGACCACCATTGCAGGATACGCCTACAACAGCTGATGTGTTTTATTGGCAGTCTTCCAAGCAAGTACTAATCGGGCTCAACCTTGCTAAACTTCCCAGATGAGACGAAATCAGACATTCGGGGTGATTTGGGTTGTAGGCCATGACACATTGTAAGGACAGGTCTATCTCAAACCACTGCTGAATGAAGACCACATTAGCCACCTCTGGTCAGTTCGAGTTGGTAAAGTGGGGGGGGGGGTGCATAGGGCAGGTTCGGATATCACAATTATAATTCTCAAAAGATGTTTGCCGTGTTCAGGGTTCATCATGCAGTGCGAGAACGATTGCGTCGCTGCTGCACCCCCAAAATGAAACTAAGAGACGTTAAACGGACTCTGTTTCTCCAAGAAAACAAGAAGATAAATAAATTATGCTTTTTTGCAGCGACATTTATTTCAGCAGCAAACTCCCCTCCGCAGGCAGGGGGGCAGCGAAGTGGTGAGACTTGTGCCTCGCAGCTCGAAGCATCTGGGTTCAAATTCTGCCTCGGGTGTCTTTCTGCGTGGAGTTTTCGTGTTCCCTCACCCCCCTCTGTTCTGTACGGGTTTTAGCCAGTTCATGCAGTTTCTTACACGTAGCTAAAATATACAGTGCTATTTGGTGTTGACCTAACATCACCATGTAGCAAGGCACTCCTTGAAAAATAGCTTTCAGACTCAGTTTGGCTATCTTCGGTAAATAAGTGATTATTGTCATTATGCAACGTCTCAGTTTGACAGGCCAACATGACTCTGGGAAGTTGCCGCATGTTCCGTGCCGGCATTGATAGGTTATCGCTAACATCAATGACCCTTGCTTCTTGTCGTACATCTGGGCTTAATGGATAAAGGCTCATGACTGGTTGCCCTGGAATATTTCGCATTCCTTTGAGAAAGAAAAACTACAACATTGAATCCTACTTTGAGTTCACGACTGCTTTAACACGTGACTATCGCACGGTTAGAGCGCCAGATACACAAGAAGACATGCGATTAAATAAATACACTTTCATATCAATGTTATGTGAGTGGACGTCCGACCACGTAGCCACAGAGCCATGTGACAGCCTCCTCCTCCAACACGTGCAGGGCAACCATTCTGGCCAGCACGCCCTTGTCGCACATCACAGCCAGAGATGTCCAAATGCATTGCCGTGAGGAGTACGAAGCGTGATACGAGATTCAGAAATTGTCTACGGTTGATTGGGGGGCGTGCGTTGGAGGGGCTCACGTGGTAGATTAGCCAGTTGTGTTTTCTGTAGGTGAATTCAATATTCAATCAGATCCAATTACAGACCGCATTTCCTCCTGAACGGAGCACTCAATACCTTGGCACGGTGACGCACCCACAGCAGAGACAATTATTTTCTTTCTCTAGCCACACGTTTGCAATCAAGCTGGAGAACACCGTTGGCAATGTCATCGCCCGCTCTTAATCTCTTCCCGAATATCGCCGGCAGATTTTCCGCCAGCAATTATAATTCTCCAAAGTTATTTTTGGTTGTACCACGTGTCGTTCGGTATCGTGAACAGCATTTTAATGTTGAATATATTCAGGACATCAAAGGGCCTTTTCACTGCAGGTGTTCCGTTATGGCAACTGCTGGATGATGATGATGATGATGGTTGTTACTGTGAGTGAAACGCTGTGCCCAATTGGTAGATGCTGGGGATCGCTCTCCAACACAATGGTATGCTGAAGCAATAGCTTTTGTTCAAGAGACAACTTCATAAAATGTGTCTGCGTCAGGTGGAGGAGGATGCACATCAAACATCCGCATTTTTACTCTCGCGAATCTGACCCAAACGTCAAGCAATGCGTGATAACATTGGTCGCGAAATAGCTGCGTGTTAATCATATCGAGTTGCTGAGTTGCAATAATCCGACGGAACGGAGACTTCCACGATGCGAAGCAGGTGTCTGCATGAGGGTCACTGTGCAGTCCGAACTCTTTTCACGCAGTCGGATGCGATCGCACAAACTTCATTTCATTCGGCCAGTCTGCACCGCACAACTGCCACTGGTCATGTCGCCAGCGCAGACATCACTCTTGCGCGATTTGATGGATCACGTTTTGAATTTTCTTGATCAAAGCATTTTACCAGAATTGTTTTTCTAGTTTGGGAAGTCAGAGAAGTCACGTGATGCTATCTGAGTGGACATTAACTGCAGCAGTAGCATGACATGTATGCCTTCATGCTCCAGTAAATTGAAAACGAATTTCTGTCGAACAGTTTTTTGTGTTTAGTTTGTTGTCCTTCCCCCGTACCTCCAATTAGCACGGTTGGCTACGTACGGTGCGAAGGAAGTTCTACATATATACGCAATATCAATGTGATCCTCCCGTCTCCAGACACTCTCTTGCGAGCTCACCCACAAGGACTGCATCTTCCCTTCGGATTGAGCCAGAATAACCAAAATTAGCACAACAATAAAGGTGGAAGTTAATATTTGTTTGATCTAGAGTGGATTCAGAAGCTTTATAAATCCAAATTGGTTTGCATTGCATGAATACGAATAATTTACAACCTTTTATCAATCCACAAAATGGTAGATGAAAGGTTTACCCATGCTGTGTCAGTCATGGAGATTTTTTTTACCATACTTCACCACGTTGGTCAGAGCAGGTGGGTCAAACGGGGGTAGGTGATGTTCCTGAGGATCAGTTCAGATATCACTTGCCACTGATGTCAACCGGGGGCAGTAAATCAATCTCAGCTCATTGGTCTCATAGCACAGTGTGCTAACCACCATGCCACCGCTCCAACCTGGCGGTATTACATTAAGTGCTTAAAAATCAATTTTAATCTGTGGATTTTACAGCCTTACTCATGCTCCAATCAGAACGGATTTGTACCCCCCTCGTAAGTACAGATGAATAAAACCACTCAGTGGTCGAATGCGTGTCTCAGTCGCCAAGCGGGCTGCCTGTTGTCTGAGCGCGGGCACGTGACGTGAAAGCACACGTCCGGGGAGTTATTGATTTTTTTTGTTCTGTTGATATGCTTGAGAATCTGTCACCAATGCACTCCAGTGGATGTGGTGTCACTCCGATAGCGGCTTCATTGATTGCAGAGACTCCAACAGAAGCCTGCAAAATGGGAGGGCTCGGTCTTTCGAATGTTTACGCAAAGCAATCAGGCCGCACGGACGTCGTGTCAAAATCGCAATGTGGTGAGAGAATATGTGAGGGTTTTCTCTCATCTGCATGATATGATTTAACAATATTTTTTCTCTTGTTTTTATCCTGATTCTGCCATAGGAATTGTGTCACGAGACAAAAACAACCCATTCGGAAGTCTCACAAAACAGTGCAACCCTTTTGTGTTGGAGAATGGTTCTGGGAAGCAGATATCAGAGAGCTACCTCTGAGATCCCTTGAGATGGCATCTCGTCCACAGAATTGGGGTCAATGCTTTCCTGCTCGCTCTACCACTGACAGTAATGTTCGTCACATAACAGTCACACCAAAATGTTTAATTGTTACAACTGGAATGTATCTAAATTAAGTGAAGAATCATGTTGAATGTGATGGACTTTGTTCTATGCAGTCATTGGTGACTGGGCTGAAACCATAAACCCAATACAATTGAGAACCCAGTTTAATCACATTGCTGTACAAGACAGTAAGACATGTGGTGTATATAAGATTGTTTCAGAGAAGAGGCAGAGACGGACTCATAGGCAGAGCAAAAAAGTAAGGACTTGGAGCTTTGAATTGAACAGTGGCAATGAGTTGAAAAGCATGGTGGCCGGTGGGAGGGTGTTCCAGACAACGGGAACAGCAGATAATAAATTGCAATCTGTCAGAATAAACGTTGATTCTGGCAGTGATTTCAGAAAAAAATGACCTATTCCTCTGAAACATGTTACTAGAGGGAGCATTCAGATGCAGCCACGGCCAAAGTGCATGAGGGTGATCAAGCTAACACCCAAATGTAAACCAGCTACGAAAACACACACACACGGGGGTGGCCATGTGGCTCAGCGGAGCTAATTCCACGTTAGAAACACTGAGCCAACACGGCTAAGAGTCTGTGTTCAAATCCAAGTTTCAGCCACACCGAACCAACCAGCGCCCTCGCGTTCTCACCACAGCCGCAGCGTCCCCCCACCCACCCACCCACCCTTCATCCTTAGAATCGAACACGAAGCGTTTTATTTCGATTTAAAGCTTTCGTGACTGCAGGGATTCATCTTCTTGATTATTTCGGTAAAGTCACGTAGAAGGGAAGTAATAAAATAATAAAAATAAAACATAATAAAATAATTATTTAAAAAAGTTAATAAAATAATTTTTAAAAGTAAATAATTATTTTATTATGTTTTAGTTTTATTATTTTATTACTACCCTTCTACGTGACTTTACCGAAAGAACCAAGAAGACGAAGCGTTTTAAACGAGACAATCCTGCTCAATGAGACCTGGAACAACGTCTCTGCCCGACAACTTCCATGCCAGGACAAGACAGAGACACTTGGGAGTACGATGTTGTGCAGTAGTCGAGAACAAATTGCTTCCACAGAAATGGCATGATGCGC